TGGAATTGTGGGCTGGAGACGAGCCCGCCCCGTGCGTGGGGGTGTGGCTAGCCCCCCGTGTCATAGGGAGTCCCCTCTGTGTCACGCCCCCAGGCCGACCAATCTGGGTGGCAGGGGGTGTGGCATGCTCTATTTAGGCAGCCCACGGACAGAAACTTGCCCCTTTTTCTGGTTCCCACTTGTGCAGTTATCCCTTGCTCCCTCCCGCCCTAAGATTAGGCTCTTATCCTTTGACCTTGCTATGGACCTCGGTTGGTCGCCTGTAGGAATTTTTTCCACTTGGCAAAGTGGAAGGGGCCTGGTAGGAATTTTTTCCACTTGGCAAACTGGCACTAGCCATTTGGTTTTTAGCCTACCTCGAAGCAAATCATCACAACTTTGTAAGGTTTGGCGCTTAGGCATTGGAGTATTAGATTGGAGGGGAGGGGAGGTAGTGGCCATCATCTACCCCTCCTAATTCAAGGGTATTCTGTTAAAGGAATCTGGGGGACATGAACCTGTCCGAAGCCCAGGCGGGGGCTAGGGCCATGGCACGACCCCTATCAGGGACCCTGGGGGAGCTCAAGTTGGTTTTCATCGACTGGGCTACCCCTACTGGTGCTTAACCCTTCTGAGACTTCCTGCAGGTGGGCAGAAGTCAGATATAAGTGATTCAGTTCCAATGCCCAAGCCAATACCACTCACAGTCTGTAACCAATAAAGTTGTGTCCTTTTTTAGCCCATTAACCTAAAATACTGGCGTCAAGTGTCTTCATTCCAACAAAGGGGAGGGTTTGGGGCTTTGCCACGCAACTGAACCTACAGTATCTCCGAGGTATGCCTGAATACATCTGTTAACTAAAGATATATTTCTCTGTTAGCAGTTAACCAGCGGGATGGCTGGATTGGCTCCATCAATTCACCTGTGCAACTCCAGACACATAGGTGCCCGACCCCACTCCAGTCTTATCCAGGTAAACTGCAGCAACACGGAGCCAGGAGGGCAGCTCTGCAGCTCTGCAACTCCGCCCGACAGACTACCTCTGGTTATACGTGAAATGCATTAAGAGTTTGGGATAGGTCTTCAAATAAATAGTTTTAACTTTCTTTGATAACTGGGCTTATTTCAAAGTAAATGTGCGCATACTACTGCAGCCTCAGTCATGCCTAACTTTAGGAAGATTAAGGGTCAAGATAAAGAGTTTCCTGATATGTGTACCTACCCTGTCACAGAATACAGTATGTACAAAGCTTTATGAAGCCTATTATATATATTTTTTAAATTTCTATTCTGTATTTTTTTCTTGGTTCTTAAGAAAATGACTTCCACTGAGAAAGAATTTCTGTCTCTCCCTTTTTAAAATGTATTTTCCTTTTCCTATTAAAAAAAAAAAAATCCTGGAGTCTCTCTGAAAATAAACATGTTCTCCCATTGCAGGATATTCCTGTTAGTAACAGTTGTACACAAATAAACGTCTGTAAACAAACATCTTATCTTTTTATGGAAGGAAGTCAATTAATAAGGAATTGACGTTCTTCCTTGGGGATGGAATGCAAGTTCATCCCCATAAACTAAAGAAATAAATGAACACGCTGGCATTTTCGCAGACTGGATAACCTACACACCTTTAGGTTTTGTCTGTTGGTGTTTCCAAACAAACAGTACCCCTGTTGCTTCCTTCCTGTATAATGTGCCTTTTCTTCCTTTCCCCCTGAGAGTTGATTTCCATGTTATGAGTTTCATTCAGGAGAGTTAGCTCTGTTGACGTGGAGTAAATTTATTCTGGTGTCTACATTCAGACAAACAGCTAGGCCAAACCAGATTCTGTGACTTAACTACACTGTACCTAAATACAAGCACATCCAGCAATGTTTTTGTCACAGAAGGAGCTTGCAAGTATACTCTCATAACTAAAAGCAAGGCAAATGTAGCTCCTAGTAGGTGGGGTGTGTAAAAAAAGACTTTGGCCTGTTTCTGGTTGTTGTTTTTAGTCATAAGGAATCTATAGCATTTAGCCTGACCTGTTGCATCCAGGCCTCAGCAATGCAAATTTTTACAAAGAGAAAAGCTACTAAACTTCCTTTTCATAACTGCATGTTCAGCTTTCATAACAATTCAGAGTTTCAGAAATACACAAAACACCACAAAATCAGGCTAAAGGTATTGATCTAAAAGATTTTTGAACCAACGTGGCTACTTTTGCTTTTTATAGAATCACATTGTTGTTAATTGCCCACTTAGGATACCACCTCCTGTGTCTAATGAAATGGGTGCTAGTTCTTTGATATTTTTGCTACAAAAAATTTAACATGGATACCCCTCTGGAATTCTGACTAGTATAAACTATTTTTGGAATAGAATTTACTTATCAGACACAATATTATAAAAACACTATACTAGTGTTACTAGATCTGATCACGCAAAAAGTTGCTCTGAAATAATTTATTTACGTCATGTCCCTAAAGGTAAGGTAAGGTACCCCTGCCGTACGGGCTAGTCTTGCCAGACTCTAGGGTTGTGCGCCCATCTCAATTTAATAGGCGTGGGCCCAGCGCTGTCCGGAGAACTTTCGGTCGTGGCCAGCGTGACATGTGCTCTGGAGAGCCGGCGCACACGGCAACGCCGTTTCTTTCCCCGCTTGTAAGCGGTTCCTATTTATCTACTTGCAACCGGGGGTTGTTTCGAACTGCTAGGTTGGCAGGCGCTGGGACAGAACGACGTGGAGGCCCCCGCCGGGGGATTGAACCGCCGACTTTCGATCGCACGCCTAGGCCGCTGAGGCTTTACCCAACAGCGCCACCGCGTCCGTTTCAATGTCCCTAGGACACTGTAATTAGGGGTCATTTAGCAGTAACCTAAAATATTTAACATGAAAGCAATGTCCTAAATTTTAGGAAGGTATGAGAAACTGGTACCCAGATCTAATAAGAAAGAAACCTTACTTTTTTGGGTCTGAAAAGTGAGAAACACCTTCATGGCATGATCTACTTGGTGGTGGTCCTCCATTTGAGGAATGCCCTCCCTAGCGAGATGCATCAGACTCCCTCACTGTTGACTTTCAGGAGAATTCTAAAAACACTCCTGTTTAACTCAGGCATTTGATGGTTGAAAGTTCTGTTCCCGGCAACCCTGAATTTAATAGTAAAGGTAAAGGGACCCCTGACCATTAGGTCCAGTCGCGGACGACTCTGGGGTTGCGGCGCTCATCTCGCTTTACTGGCCGAGGGAGTCGGCGTACAGCTTCCAGGTCATGTGGCCAGCATGACTAAGCCGCTTCTGGCAAACCAGAGCAGCGCACGGAAATGCCGTTTACCTTCCCGCCAGAGCGGTACCTATTTATCTACTTGCACTTTGACGTGCTTTCAAACTGCTAGGTTGGCAGGAGCAGGGACCGAGCAACGGGAGCTCACGCTGTCGCGGGGATTCGAACCGCCGACCTTCTGATCAGCATAGGTGACTGCTTTTAAGAGTTTTAATGTTTTTAGAAGGTTGTTTTAACCTGTTTTTTAGAAGGTTGCTTTTAACTATTTTAGCAGTTTTTATTGAATTAATTGTTTTAAAGCATGGACATGTTTGCCGCCCAGGACTCCTCTGGAGGAAGATGCAGGATATAAATTTAATCCAAGGATCTAACTCAACAATAAAAGGAGCTGCTACCACTCCAGTGGCGTAGCGTGGGGGGTGCCAGGGGTGCCGGCCGCACCGGGCGCAACATTTTGGGGGGCGCGTTTGGCCGGCCCCCCTCGAGGAAGCGGGAACCTCTCCAAGGCACAGCGTGCCGTCGGTAGAGGAAAAAAGCCGCGCAGCAGCAGCAGCAGCAAAGTCGGGAGGAGGAGGAGGTGGAGCGAGCCTGCTAATTCCTTGCTGGGAATTAAGCGGCTCAAGACTCTCTCCACTGGCCGCCTGGGTAGTGAGCCGAGCCGAGCAGGGAGTCTGGCGAGGGGGCGGGAAGAGACTTTTCCCCCTTTTTTCCACCTCGCCTGGTCAAAAAGGAGAGCGGAGTCTCCTCAGGGCGCCCTCAGGCAGGGCAGGGAAAGGCAAGCAGAGCGAGGAGGAGAGAGGGGGGAGGGGGGGAGCAGCCAGGAAACGCCGCGGTGTGGAGGAGGAATCAATTTAGGAGAGAAAGCGAAAAGCCTTGGAGAAAGGGAAAAAAGGAAAGAAAAGAGGCAGCTCCAGGAGAGCGCGGGGGAAAGAGAAGCCTCGCTGCTGCTGCTTGGGAGAGTAAATTACTGTACTTGCCTTGCCCCGGGTTAGGGGGCGCAAATTACTTTCCTTGCCCCGGGTTAGGGGGCGCAAATTACTTGCCTTGCCCCGGGTGCTGATAACCCACGCTACGCCGCTGTACCACTCTGCATCTCCTTCACCACCTATAATGTTTTCATGTAGCCTAGGAATGTGTGTGTCACAGGAAAAGCATGGGAGACACACACACACACACTCACACACTCACACACACACACACACACACACCATAAAAGATCACAAGGTTCATTCAGATCTTCCTTTTCCTCTCAGAACCAGCTACTCAAAAATACGGACACAGGGGTTTGAATCTACCGTGGGAAGCCTAAATATCGTGCCATGTGGTCACTGTGTACTTCCCAGAGGAGGAAGGAACACAAAAACATTCCAAGCCCAGGAGTTCCTTTCAGCATACTCCAGACATTTCTGTTTTGACTACTTAATCTCAAGCATTTTCTTGGCCAGGCATAGGCAAACTCGGCCCTCCAGATGTTATAATAACATGTTATAACAGGACCAGTGGTCAGGGATGGTGGGAGTTGTAGTCCCAAAACATCTGGAGGGCCGAGTTTGCCTATGACTGTTCTAGGCTGAATGATGATATGAAGACTAGCACTCGCTGCTGTAAATGCCCCTAGGCCAAATTTTGCAAACAGGTTCATTTATTTAAAACACTTATATACTTGCCCTTAATCCAATTCAGGGTCCAGGGTCCAGCAAGGTATAGATTGTGCTGAGTTTTCATGATTCCATTTGCACTTTGCTATACAGTCCTTACCTGACTCGGTGTTTTCTCTGGACTGCTCGTCTCCCCGCCCTGCATCTGAGGAATCCCCACTGGGGGTGGAGGAGCTCTCCTCTTTTTCATTTCGGTGCTTCCAGTAATTCCTGAGATGTTCCCCAAAGACTGTGATGGACCCAAAGTAAAGGAACGTGAATCCACTGAAGAAGAGTATGGAGCTGTTGCAACTCCCTGTAAGTAAATAAATTCACAACCTCATTAAAATCTCTTAAATATGACATTTCACAGTCAGCCCCTAAAATATATACCTTGGGAGGGGGGAAATGCCCCCTCACACTAACCCATCTTGAACATTTCCTCTTGTGTTTTTAGATGCATTAGATGTTGCTGCTAATACAATGTGTCGAAAAAATGATCCTATGCTGCCAGTTCTCGTAGTAGACCAGTATAAAGTAAGCAGCACATAAGTGGCACACAAAACACTACCAAAGCATTCTACGTACTAAATCTTATCCAAAAATTGAGAGAGCTACGTACAAGATCTACTATAGAAGCCACAAACAGAAAACTCATTCAAACTGATCAAACTTATCAACGAGATGTCTAACTCTTGTGCGTCACATCACCAACACTTCGTTTGATAAAACTTACCTTTGTTGATATCTACAGGAGCCTGGCTAAAAGAACTTTAAAGACTGAATCTTCCTTTTGGACACAATTTGAATGAGTTTTCTGTTTGTGGCTTCTGTAGTAGATCTTGTACATAGCTCTCTCAATTTTTGGATTATTAATATAAGATTTAGTACGTAGAATGGTTTGGTAGTGTTTTGTGTGCCGCTTATGTGCTGCTTACTTTATACCGAGCTAATACAATGTGGCCAAATCTCCAGGAAGAGGTAAGTCACCTTCCCACTTCCCTCACCTGCCTGGATCCCACCTTCTCCAAGGATGGAGAGCAACAGGCCAAGGGGAGCTGCGTATGCAAGAGTGTGAGAGCTGGGCCGATGCTGGAAGCTGGATACACAGAGACATGTCTTGCTCTGTGCTGGACTTTGGGGCTCCCCTAGAAACCTGATGGGAAAATCAAAAGGGATCCTAGGCAGAAACTTTGTGCCTGAGCAGAATGGGGTGCTGTCCTGTAAAGGAGACAGGAAGAAGCTAATGGGAGCTGGTGGAGGCCTTTACAAAATCAAAGCATTTACAGCTTCACTCCATCAGAGATGGGCCTTCATTGGTATGCTCTAAACATGCCTCACTATCATCTTACAAACATTAAAAATTCATGAAAAATATGGATTCAGTCCCCAAGAACTCATCCATGTCCTTTAAAGGACAAGGATAAATGTCTCTGAGCAAATATGTTAGAATTCTAAGAACAAAAATTTAATTCTAAATCATGCAAGAAGAACATGTTTAATATTTAAAATGTAAACATGACATAAAAATGCCACTTGTGAATATCTTTGTATGCACTTGATCTCTTCTTATATCTCATTCCATTCATACTAAATTTCCTTTCTTCATGACTGACGCACAATGAAGCTTGCTTTCCACAGTCAGCTAGCCGCAAATCCCACAAAACAGGCCAGTGCAGATATAACACCCCGACCCTTTGACAATGATACAGGCCAAGGCCACAATTAACGCATGTGGAAAGTGGAGACGCAAAAACTGAAAGTGGCAACATCGACTTCACTAGATAAAATGTGATACGAATGCCTACCCTTTAAAAGCATGCGCAGTAGGATACAGAAATATTCAGGAGAGGGTTACCTGGACTGGACAGCTTTAAAGGGGAATCGAGCAAATTCATGGATGATACAGCTGTCTGGATGATTACAATGGCTGGATGATTTCCAGTATCAAGAGGAGTATGCTTCTGAATACCAGTGGAAGGGTCTCTCTCGGGAGGTGGTGGACTCTCCATCACTGGAGGTTTTTAAGAAGTTGGGTGGCCATCTGTCATGGATGCTTTAGCTGAGATTCCTGCATTGCAGGGGGTTGGACTAGACAACCCTTGAGGTCCCTTCCAACTCTACCATTCAGTGAGTGATACTGCACTCATGTCTACAGGCAACTGGTTGACCACTGGGAGAACAGCATTCTGGACTATATATACTTTTAGTCTCATCTAAGCAGGTACAACGGTAGGCTTGAGCTGAGAATCACACACCATCGTGGCTTATGATTCTCGTTATCAGAAAATACACAAGCCATAGTTTACTAATTCAGATGAAACAGCAAACTGTATCTTGGCACAAACTGGGATTGAAAATTGCTAATTTCTGGACACAAGAGAAGGAGGAAGTACAGTGGTACCTCTGGTTGCGAACGGGATCCATTCTGGAGGCCCGTTCGCAACATGAAAAGAGTGCAACCTGAAGTGCCATATCCGCACAGGTGTGCAGCGCAATTTGGTGTTTCTGCGCATGCGCGAGGGGTAAAACCCGGAAGAAACCCTTTCCACTACTTCTGGGTTGCCGCGGGACGCAACCTGAAAAAACGTAACATGAAGCAAACGTAACATGAGGTATGACTATATACAAGTCCAAATCTCATCTGAATGTAGTCTTTCTCTGGCAAACTGTATGTTACCACAATTTCTCTCAGACAATTTGAACTCAGCTCAGATGCTCCACTAAACTTAGAAACAGACAAGACATGAAGTGGGAGATTCATTATAATTTTATTTTATTTTAAACATCAAAGTACCCAAGTGATCAGTTAGAAGTCTTTGTGCTCTAAGCCTCTTGTACTTGAATAAGGTCCTGATTTGGTTTTATTTAAATTTAGAATATTTAGACTATTACTCCTCTCCCATCCAAGGTTTGCTAATCTCTGTTGCCAGCTGCTCAAAATGTTTACATTTGAAGGACTCTATCTATATGCACTTAAAGAATCTCTACTCAGTATCTGATCTTAACAGATGCCAGACGGAAGGCAAAAAAATGTCTCCTTCTGGAAACTCTTGATTAATTGTCTTGAATGTGTTTTTAACCCCAGTTGGTCAAATATATTTCCATTAGGATTTTAAACAATGCAAACCACAGTTACTACAACCGGCAGACCAGTATTATCTGAAACTCTGTGGATCCAACACAAAAACCTGGAGTTGTAATTCAATTATACCAGAGTATGTCATTAGCAAACTGAGATTCTACTAAATTTTATGTTAACTGTGCAATGCATATATTAATTACAACGCTGATGATCATCACCTCCCACTTTCATAGTCTGAATCCAAGACTATTTTAGGCATGCCTAAGGATCTGGGGGTGAGCAGCAGGATTTTTGCTATCTTTCTTTGACCATTTTAGCAAATCTTTGCCCTTGTCCACCATTCCTTTCCAAGCTTTTGTAACATTTTATACGTGACAATACTGTGCCAAATTGTCTGTTCCCATGGAGGGGGGCGTTGTGGTACATCTGAGGGGCCAATAGAGGAGAGCCACTTGACTCAAATGAGAAGAGTCCATGCCAACATATAGAGGACATAAACAAACAAACAAACTTTGGAACACTGATCTTTTTCATATATTTATGTTTCCATACTACTTGATAAGTATATCCCAGGTCGATTTATTTTTACTGAATGTACTTTCCATGGTCTAATTTAATTTTAATGACATAAAGAAACTTGCTAAGTTGGTTATTGGGGTGTATTCCCTGTGGCGAGTATATAATATAACGGGGGGGGGGGGGAGAGACCTTGTTAGTCTTTTGCAGCAAAGCCACCAAGGGTCTAACAAATTTACAAAGACTAACAAATTTAAATCATAAGGTTTTGTGAACGAAAAAGCCCCAAACAACTCTATGAGATAGTGAATAACCCCCCCTTCTTTGTTCTTGGTTAAACAGGACTGAGTTCCATCAGGACTATGAAATAGACCATTGCACCTCACATTGCTTGCACTTAGTGCTTGATTAATATTATTGCATCAGCACCACCCAGAGGCCATGTTGGTACTTACATCAAGGTACGGTTCACTTTCTGTTGTGGACTTTAAAGGTTCTTCGCTGCCATAATCCCCAGCCGTCCTCATCGAACACTCTTCTGCCTAGAGAACAAATAAACACTCTATACGACCACTCCAAAAGGGGTAAATACATTACACGCTGTTAGCTAAAAACAACAAACCATTAAAACACACAGTGGATGGGAAAGCTAGGAACCATTTGCCTAATATCTGGAAAAGCAGGCCATAATGGGAGTTGAAACCAGGACTGGAGAGGATTCTGGTTCATGCTACATGCTGGAGTGAACCTTCCCCTTTTGCTCCCCAATCTGTGGATTACGCCACATAATCAATGGAATGAACTGTGTGTGGGTCCACACAGCATTTACGAGGTGACTGGCTCTTTATTTCTTCTGAATACCAGTTGACAGAACCCACAGGAGGGGAGAGTCTCATTTCTTTTGGACCTGGTCCTCACCCATAGAGAGGAACTGACTGATGAAGCAAAGGTTTCAGGGAACCTTCGGAGGAAGTGATCATGTCCTCTTGGGTGTCATAATACAGAGGGCAAGGGAAAGCGGAGTATGGTGAGATGTTCATTCAAGACTTGAAAGGCTGATTTCAAAAAGCTGAACTACTGAGTGAGATTCCACGGTCAGAAATGCTCAAAGAGAAAAGACTGCAAGATGGATGGGAGTTTCTTAAAGGTAAAATATTGAATGCACAAAGGCAGACAATTTCAACAAGAAAGGAAAGTTGGAGGCCCCTAAAGAAACTGGTGTGACTGCATAACAAGCTTACGGATGAGCTGAGATGAAAGAAGGGTATGTATAAGAAAGGGAAGAAATCAGAAATCATGAAGGAAGAGTCTACAGAAGTAGCCAACAGTTGCAGGGTGAAGTTCAGGTGAAGCTCAGAATGAACTCAGGCTTGCAAGAGAAGTTCAAAATAAGAAAAATGTTTCTTTGGCTATGTTTGAAGCAAGAGGAAGAACAAGCAACTAGTAGGTCCCTTGCGTGGAAACGATGGAGAAATGTTACTGGGTGCCGGAAAGAAGGCAGAACCGCTAACACCTAGTTGCCTCTGCTGTCATTTGAAAGGAAAGAAGGCCCAACCTGGGGAAAGCAGAATCATAGAATTGCACTAGGTGACCCAAGTTCTTCCTGATGTTTAGTCAGAATCTACTTTCTTGTAACTTGAAGTAACTGGGTTCGAGTCCTATCCTCCAGAGCAGGAGTAAACAAATTTGTTCCATCTTCCATGTGACATCCCTTAAGATATTTGAAGATGGCTATCATATCTCCTCTCAAATCTCCTCTTTTACCCAGCTCCTTCAACCGTTCCTCATCAGGCTTGTTTTCCAGACACTTGATCATCTTGGTTGCCCTCCTCTACACATGTTTCAGCTAGTCAATATTCTCCTTAAACTGTCGCGCCCAGAACTGGACACAGTATTCCAGGTGTGACCTGACCAAGGCAGAACAGAGTGGCACTGTTACTTCCCTTGATTGGGACACTCGACTTTTGTTGTTGCAGCCTAGAATAGCATTAGCTTCTTTTTTTCCTGCTGCTGCATCACACTGTTGACAATGTTCAGCTTGTGGTCCACTAAGACCCCTAGATCCTTTTCGCATGTACTACTGGCAAGCCAGGTGTCTCCCACCTTATACTGCTTTCCAACTGCTCTTGCAATGTGCCTCTGAAGACTAGAGAGTGTCTGGAGTGGGGTGGCCAAGAAAACCATGGTTAAGCAAGGCTGTTAGGTTCATACATAGGGCCAAATCATAGTTAAAACAAACCACAGTTCAAAAAAACCATCAAACCATGGCTTCACATCATGGTTGGGTGCCAGAAAACAAAACTATTCTTAGTCTGCTGGGCTGAGTTTAGGTGTTCAAACAAACCACACACTGACTAAAGAAAACCACAGTGGTATCCTGTGTGAATTAGGCCATACCTGTTAAAATAAGAGAAAGTAGTTTCCTGCTATCCATTCTTATAACAGGCATCAGCAGTCACTTTGATTCATTAAGTTTCATTACAGCCATATACCTAACAGGTACAGCTATAAACATATACTAAGGAGGAGTCATGGGGGAGTGCACATGCAGCAATGGGAACAATTACCGTAGTTTTCGCTCCATAACACGCATTTTTTTCCTCCTAGAAAGTAAGGGGAAATGTCTGTGCGTGTTACGGAGCGAATGCTTCCCTCCTCCGTGGCTCGCTTTGAAACAGCAAAGCGGGAGAAGAGCCGCTGAGTGGGGAGGAAAGAGTGACAGAGAGCCTGCTTGCTTTAAAGGAGCAAAGCGGGAGAGGAGAGGAGCCTTCTCCCCTTATACCCCTCTTCTGCATTATTAGCAGCATCCCTCTCCACCCACCCCACGCGTGCTCCTTGTCCCTTGAGTGCTTTTCCTTCCCTCCCCACTTAAAATGTGGTTACAAAGCACAGATCCAAATGGATCCTCAGGATTTTTGCACTGGGTCACCCCAAACTCACCGTCAGATCACATGTCTGTGGCCACAGCATGAACCACAAAAATCATACATCCACTGTTTCGGTTAGAATATTTTTTTTCTTGTTTTCCTCCTCTAAAAACTACGCACGTGTTATGGTTGGGTGCGTGTTATAGAGCGAAAAATACGGTAGTTTAATAAATTAAACTAACTGATAGTGTCTGTATGGTCTTGTCATGGCCTTTGGCTAGTACAATAAAGCTTATCTACACCTACAATAAATGAGGGGAGACATTTACCTTAATGTTCATTTTATTAGTCTTGAAAAATCCCAGAAATCGTTTCTTTTCTTTTTCTGTTGTGTCACAGCTGGTTGAGTATCTTCTTGTTTCTGTAACACACGCAATGTGTCATAACTACTCCAGCACAAATGATCAATTAAAGAATTTAGAAATCAGCTTACTAACTTTGAGGGTAGAAATCAGTGCTAGTAGTACAGGACAATAGCAACATACACAGGTTTAACAAGTGCTATTTCAACTTTAGGCATTTGATGTCTGGTCGGTTGAAATCACACTAATTCAAAGCACAGAAGGCGGACAGCTTGAAAGCTCTTTTTGCACAGGGTTTTTCCAGCACAGAAGGAGCTTTTAAGCTCTTTGCTTTGCTTACTGAGTTCTGGGATGCTCTCGCAAGATCTTGTGGAAACTAGGGCCAGCCACATACGATCTTGTGAGGTATCCCAGAGTTCAGCAAGCAAGGCACAGAGCTTAAATGCTCACCACAGAATGTAACTCCTGCACAGGAGGAGATCGTACTGTACACAGATTTATACGCAAATTAATTCTAATCAAAGTTACTGCAGTATTAATTGCTCACAGGAGGGAGAGGTCATGCATCGTTTTTCCAAGATACTGATTTAGACCTAACTTTACTTACTTGCATGTTAGTCTTAAAACTTCATTATTAAGCATTCAGGATTAGAACCGCTAGTATCATCCTATACTCACTGCTGTATTTACCCAACCAAATGCATATGTAAGTTTGTGATAGTTCAATATCAAATGTTTCACCATGACACATTTGGTAATGAGGCCACAGACTGAACCTTGTATAACTGTTCATATTTCTCTAGAGAAGTTGGATGAGAGTTTGCTGAATTGCTAAACTGGGCTACATTATATGTGACACAAAATAGACTGGTGTGCCTGCCACATTAAACTGTAGGTAGAATAGACCTATAGAATAAACCTTTAATGTAAGCAAGCCATGTTGCTGCATACTGCAGGAGTTTGGGGCATTTCACTCCTTACCGGCTGCCACTACATTGCAAGTAAGCAAGCCATGGTCTAGCTCCGGGGTAGGCAACCTAAGGTCCGGGGGCCAGATGCGGCCCAATCGCCTTCTAAATCTGGCCCGCGGACGGTCCGGGAATCAGCGTGTTTTTACATGAGTAAAATGTGTGCTTTTATTTAAAATGCATCTCTGGGTAATCTGTGGGGCATAGGAACTCATTCATTATTATTTTTTCAAAATATAGTCCGACCCCCCACATGGTCTGAGGGACGGCCCACGGCTGAAAAGGTTGCTGACCCCTGGCCTCTAGCTTGTTGTGTAATCCAAACGCAGGACTGTGCATTGTCTACCTCCAAACAAACCACGAGCAGAAACCAAAGACAATGTCCCATCACCATCTAGCTGCCAAGTCCAGTCAGCTTGTGTGCATGGAATGCAACAGTGAATCATCTTGCCCTTTGCCTCTGGTGGAAATAAGTCTTGGACCAGCCCTGCCTCTCCCTAATGCTTCTCTGCCCCCAAGCACCTTCTCCCCTCACTGCCCCTTTATTACTTGCAAACAGTGCCCCCTAATCCTGCTTTCCTGAGAGCAGAACTCTTGCTATGCTTAACAATGCATAAAGAGTGAAGCTGATGGCTACAAAAGGGGACCAGAAAATATCATCCGCATTGTGCATATATGATACATTCCACAATAAGTTCACAAATGTGTTACTAACTTTTTAAACCCATGTTTCCATAGAACACACCATTTCTTTCCCTTTTCTTTATTTAGCATTTCTTTATTCACTTTTTCAGTAACCACCACCAAAGAAAGAAAATACATATGGTACAACCCAAAGCATAATTGCACAGTCCAAGCATGACTTATTAGCTGAGCAAGTCCTTCCAGAGTGCCATGAACGGTTGGTGGCGCCACAGGTCTGTCTTCCTTCACCACAGAGGTAGCAAAACAACACCACTATTCTCCAAAGTCACTGTCAAACCCACAAGCCCCTTTCAATGGAATGGTATGATTCTCGAACACTGCAATTTTCCAAACACTCTGCCAAAGACAGACTCTCTTCTGTTCTCCAATACCTGCTAATTGTGCAACAGCAATCTTAAAGAATGCTAGCATATGTAAGTTATTATTATTATTATTACCATCAAATATCAACAACAATGCTAATGGAGCGGTACAATAAGCCAACTGACCCAGGATTTTTTCACACTCTACAAATACCACCTTGCACAATATTTGTGGCAGGACCAGCATATGAAGTAATTATGACTATATTGTTACAACCTTTCCAATACCCTTCAGTGAATGAGTGGACAATGCAGCAATTTTTCAGCAGCATAAAATGCCAACTATTCACTAATTTCAGGGAACATTTCTGCATCGCTGCTTATACTGACCTCAACGGTTTACTTTGCTGCAACCTGCTCTAATTTATTATTATTTCATTTACAAATTGCTTTCCATGGAGCATCTCAAAACGATTCACAATACAAAACACATAGAGAGAAAGCAACTACATATTTAAGAACAGCTAAATCATCTGCATATATAAACACAAATTCTCTCTCACACACACTTTTTTAAAAAAAATCAGTTCAAAAACAATAATAAAAATAAAATAATAAACCTTTATTGTCAATGCACCACCTGTGTGGTGGTGCAAAAACAATGCAAATCCAATGCAAATGTAACTAGAATCAAACTATCCACTTAGAAGGCCTCTTGAAATATGTATGTCTTCAACAGGTGCCAAAAAGTTGAAAGAGAAGACATCTGTCTGATATCTAATAGGAGGGAGTTCCAAAGAATAGGTGCCGCTACACTAATATCCAATTTCAGCATTGTGCAGAATGAGCCTCCTGATAGGATGAGGATCAGAATGCCGTGATCAGTTGGGTATGCAGAGGATGAGACAATTTTAAGATATCCTGGTCCCAAGCCCTATCAAATAGAATTACAGTTGTACCTTGGTTTTCGAACAGCTTAGTTCTCAAACCTTTGGCTCCCCAAAGCGGCAACTGTTCCTGTTTGCGAACTATTTTTGGAAGCCGAACATCTGACGGGGCTTCTGTGGCTTCCGATTGGCTGCAGGAGCGTCCTGCAGCCAATCAGAAGCCATGCTTTGGTTTCCGAACATTTTGGAAGTCGAACTGACTTCCGGAATGGATTCCGTTCAACTTCCAAGGTACAACGGTACTATATGCTGATGTATTAAAATGAATTCAACAGTAAATCAAAGCAGCGCAGAAGAATCAATGTGGCACAAATAAGGACAAATATTTAAAGACACACATTGACATACCCTCCCAAAACTTAGCTTAAAGGCGCACAGAAAATTTAAAAGTCCATATTAAAAACTGCCACCAACCTGGACCGCGTAAGCTTAGCAGTTAATGGCAATACTCATGCCAGCTACTCTTTACAATTAATTATTACAGAATTTTACTAAGACATATGGCACAAGGAGCATTAGCCTAAGTGTTTATTATTTTATTAGAAATAAAAAAGAGACAGTTTGAGGACTGAGAAATCCAAACAGGGACAAGCATTGCTTATTTTCTGTGAATCTATTAACGATCTGAAATGTTTGGTTTCCTACCATACAGGTTTCAGTTTATAGATGTTAATGCTTGCCAGCTGACACTCAAGCTCATGCAGAATTTCAGTGAGTGACATCTGCCTTACAGTCCACTGTTGGTGTTATACGCTGGTCCAGCCAGCTCATATCTAGGGCAAAAGTTGGTGGAAATGCAATGAGAGAAGGACCTGCTGCTGGCACCTTCTGCTTGACTTGCCCAGGGGTGCAATCATTTGGGGAACAAGTGTGAGTGCGTATATGGGCGGGATTCCTTCTAAATGAAGGAACTGGAGGAGAAGGAAGAAAATGCCAATACCATCTGGAAGACTTTGGCCACCTACTTGATCATTGCAGCTTGGCTTGTTTACTCACAAGGCTAGTTACACTGGACAGAAGGTTCTGTACTTTGCTAATTAAAAACGATTCAAAGCCAGGCCAGTGGAACACTTGTGAAATTCATGTTACACGTGAGCAATGTATGTACGTCCTTTCCAGGCTCATGTTCTTCCCAAGTATCAGTTTATTTGATGGGATTTGTAATATTTTGTTTAACTAGAGTTGAATGACATAACCTTCCTAGTCAAAACAAAAAAATTCCTTCCAGTAGCACCTTAAAGACCAACTAAGTTAGTTGGTATCTGAAGAAGTGTGCATGCACACGAAAGCTCATACCAAGAACTAACTTAGTTGGTCTTTAAGGTGCTACTGGAAGGATTTTTTTTGTTTTGACTATGGCAGACCAACACGGCTACCTATCTATAACCTTCCTAGTTCTGGCAAATTATTATTGCTGTGAAAGAACATTCCCTTCATGTTTTCAATATTTTGTATAACCTTGCTGTTACACCTTGCTGTTTAAGATAGAGAAAGAAATCTGTTTTGCATTACTTGTAGTGCCAATGTTGTGTGAAGATGTGAGTAGTAGCTCTTATTCTAGGTGTGGGGAACCTGAGGCCCTCCATGTTTTTGGGTGGCAAATGCCATCATCCCTGACCATTGGCCATGCTGGCCGGGGCTAATGGATGCTGGGAGTCCAACGGCATCTGCAAGGCCACGGATTCCTCACCCCAGTCTTACACAGTGAACCTCAGTGCATTAATCACCCAAGCCATGCAGAAGAAGAAGAAAATAAAAGGGAAACTCTCTCTCCACGTCTCATTATACAGTACCTCTATTGTTCAGAGAAGGTTCAGACTGAGCTTTTGATGAAAGAACTGGAAAGGACAGGAACAAAAAGGATGAAAAAGGAATAATTAAAAGATGCAGAACATAAAGCCTGATTTGCTTTCATGCATGTCACAGGGCTGAGGCACTTTAGCTAAATGCAGGTGCTCATCAACAACCAGGAAACTGCAGTTAAAGATAAAAAGATTCAGAGAATGACCCCATGTCCCATCAGAAGGACTCAATTCATTTTCTTTTGGCGCTTGCCTTACAACTTCACTGAGGCTGAATTTTCCACCACCTTCCTCATCCTCTTCATTGGCCTTTCCTGAGAGCCCTTTGCTGCCCAGGTCCCAGCTGCCAGGTTTTGCCAGGGCAGTTTCTTTCACACGCTAGCTTCTGGAGGAACCACTTCTTCATGCAACAACACAGTGAAAGTATGGAATTCGTGACAAGATGCAGGGATGGCCACCAATTTGCCCAGCATTGAAGGGGGTTAGACAAATCCATGGAAGATAAGGTGATCAATAGCTACTAACCAACCCCAAAGTCAGGAAGTATACCAGTTGCTGCTGATCACAAGCAGGAGAGCGCTATGGGGCTCATGGCCTGCTTGTGGGCTGACCATTGGCATCTAACAGACCCCTATGAAAAAAGGATGCTAGACAAGGTAGGCCTTTGTAGTGGACTGACCTAGGAGGACTCTTCTTACGTTCGTTGTTTCTGCCACCCCCCCCTTTCTTCTTCCCGTTTCCCTTGTAAAGCCTACTTTCTGCAGTTGTGGGCAAGTTCACAGACCTATTTCACAGTTAACTGCATAAATTCAGTCAGAAGACTCTAAAAGGTTTGCTTCCAGATGAAAGCAATCAGAGAGAAAACCACTGCAATGTACAGTGGCTAAGAAATTGAGCCGTGAACCAGGAAATCCCTACATTGAACTCAAGACACATGAAACCACTATCGGAGGCTGAAAGTTTAAGTGACAGAATTTGAGGGAGTTGAACTACTTGACCATTTTGCTTCTGACCATTTACCCACTTGAAATGGTACCATCAAATTGGTTTTTTTTCTCCAGCTGTGGAGGGGAAGAGATAGGTACCTTCACCTTTCCCCTCAAGGGTGGAAATGCAGGGAGTGACATTTTGAGAGGAAAAAAATGGCTTTTAGGATTAAGATGGGAAACAGTGCGTGGCATGGCACCTTCCATCTCCAACCTCAACCACTCAGCTGCAATATGGGGATAATTATACCGATCTCTTATACCCGGTGCTTTTTTCTGGGGGGGACGCAGGGGTATGCATACCCCTAAGCATTTTGTGAATCTTTGAACTTTTGTCCAGTTATGGTATTTATTTTTTCTGATTTGAACTATAAAATGGGGATTTTCTTGAATCAAAATGAGAGTACCTCTAAACATTTCTTTTTAGAAAAAAGAATTGCTTGTACCTATCCATCTTGTAAAAATTACTGAAATAATGTGTGTGCTTTCAACACTCTAAATGCTAAGTATTATTATCACCATATATTAAACAGAATGAAAAAACCTGTTTCTAGGAAAGTAGGTTTCAAATCCTAGCTAAAGTCTGGAAGAAGTTTGAGGGCCTTCAGTTTTTAACAACAGCTATAGGAACCTAACTGACAGGACATTGTTGACAACATGAGACAAAGACTGCAAACCATAAGGCTTATTGTAAAAGCACTTCATAAATAGAATGGAATGGCAAACCGGGGAGGGATTATAGATCAGAAGAAAATATCACAAGAAACTGTCATTTTTTTCTAGTCTGCAGTTGTTATTTTTTCCTTATTATGTCTCTCCGCACCCCCACATCTGAAGTGAATGGTGTATGATCACACAACAATAAGGTAATTAATTACATTATTAAATTTGACCACAACGAACCAAGTAACATTTTTGTGGAGTATGAACTGCAGCAGAATGGAAATGTGATGCAGAATGAGGAAAAATGCCTTTTTACATTTGTAGTAACACTCCAAACCAGACAAAGATTTGGTGTCACTCACATGAAAGGCTGCTGCTTCCATTCCTCCACTTTCCCTTTCCTGCCTCCTGTACCTAAAAGGGTAGATTTTATTTTTAAAACAGCTGTTTTGTGCAAGAGTAGTTCTTCGCTAAAGAGCTGTTTTAAAACGTATCATGAATGTTCCTTCAGCACCTATCAGTGGGAAACAACGGGTGCGTCCTTTTCTTTGGGGCATGGAAACCAAACAGAAGTAGGGCATGTGGCAATAGACAGCACCCAGCAAAACGTCACCACATGTGTAAAAACAACACACACAATGTGCTTCACAGTTGGGTAACCTTATTTTACATTGGATATTTCACCCCGTATTGGACTGCCCACCCAGAGGGAAAATCCAAATTTAGTGGAGGGAAGGCTTGGATGAGGAGAGACAAACAGCTTCAAATCCACATTAAACTCTAGTTCAGATGCACCCCGTGCATTAAGAGATTCCCATTGTCATTCACATGCATGTTGTTTAGGCAATATGGTATGATATAGCATCCTATATATCCCATAGTTAGTTCCAGCTTCACCACAACCTCAGAGTTTAATGTCTGCCAGGGATAATGTGAAGAATCAAAGTCCTTGGTTTGCCTGTTAACATGGAGTCTATGCAACGGAAGCTACCATCCCATGTTCCAAACACCCAACTGGCAAGCAATATCGTTCATGTAGAATGACGGAGCTGGAAGAGACATTGGAGATTGTCTAGTCCAACTCCCTGCCACAGGTAAAGCATTTCAAAATACATTTCCTTTCAGCCAATTAAGTGAGACAATGGGCAGGGCAAAGACTAACTCTGCATTGGTGCCAGCACAATATTGAACATGGAGGCAATGTACCATTGTAGACCACAGATATGGAGCAGCTTTGTGCCAGGGCCTAGCTCTGAACAAAAATTACCAGTGGCACTCACTGTATGAAGGAGGCACTGCTAAGAGCAACTACTAGTGGACCAAGGCCTTCACTTATAGAGTTCCATACCATCAAATCTGAAGGTCCCTGACAGTTCTACAAAGGGCTTGGATACCATTTTGGGAAGACTGCAAAAGACAGTAGTATGTATAAAAAGCCTCTGCACCAATGGCAGGGAATCTTATTTTGATTACCACATTTCCTTGAGCATAGCCTTTTGGGGGTATCACAGTGGTGGGTAGAGATGAGCCTCTCTGAAATCTACCGGTGTAGGGCAGTATACTACTACTAAGTAAAGGTAAAGGGACCCCTGACCATTAGGTCCAGTCGTGGCCGACTCTGGGGTTGCGGCGCTCATTTTGCTTTATTGGCCGAGGGAGCCGGTGTACAGCTTCCGGGTGATGTGGCCAGCATGACTGAGCCGCTTCTGGTGAACCAGAGCAGCGCATGGAAACGCCATTTACCTTCCCGCCAGAGTGGTACCTATTTATCTACTTGCACTTCGTGCTTTTGAACTGCTAGGTTGGCAGGAGCAGGGACCGAGCAACGGGAGCTCACCCCGTCGCAGGGATTCGAACTGCCGACCTTCTGATCGGCAAGTCCCAGGCTCTGTGGTTTAACCCACAGCGCCGCCCGTGTCCCGCATACTACTACTAATAATAATGCCACTGCCCAAAATGGATGAGACACCCCCTCTTCTCTCTCTCTTTCTGCCACCTCTTTTTCTTTTCCTTGCTCTCTTTCTTTCTGCACATTCCCCATTGCTGCTCTACATATCTTACAAGTGGCACTCTTAAAAAACCCAATGCCTTTCCAACCCCCAGCCTCACACCCACCAAAAAACCCCCAATTAGTGCCATCTGCAAATATTAGTACATAGTTTTCTCAGTGTACATTAATAAATGTATTGACTTACCTCTTTTCCTATCCCACGCATAGAGCTCTTTTATTCCCAGTTCATTCAATGACTTTGTAAGTTCCAGTTCCTCCCCAGTGAAGGTATCTCTCAAGAGGACAAGGCATTCCTGACTGACCTCACATTTCTCACAAATCGCTGGGATGATACTTTGGAGAGGAACCTCGGGACTCACTCGAACCACTGCCTTTTGTGTCTTGAGATAGTTTACGACCAGCCTCACTGTTTTCTAGGGAAGCAAAATAGAAAAGGAGAAGACTCTGTGAGCCACAGCTCCTCAGCGGTAGTGCTTGTGCACTGCAGTTGCAAAATAGATTATTCATACTGGCAAGAGGGTTAAAGAAAGATCAAGGAGTGTCATATTCATTGCACAGGAATGGCATTACAGAGGCAGAACAGGATTCCTTTGCGCTTTCTCCGTGTAGGTATGCATCAACACATTTTAATCGCTTATGAAATATCTGTATATGCAACGCTGAAAAACAAAATTATTGTGAAGCAGACAGCAGTTATTCAAATATTAGATTGAGAGAGAGTATATGAGCAATAATAGCCCTTGGACTCTAAGCAAGGCAGTCACAAGACCTGTAGATGAGAACTGTCCAGTTTGTTTCTATTATGGAATAAAAGAATTAAAGGGTTGGAAGGGACCTAGGAGGTTGAGTCAACCCCTTCAATGCAGGATCTTCAATGTTAGGATGCAGCTACTGTATTGTATTCCTTCAGTCTTTGCTTAAATACCTCCAGCATAGAGGGGTCCACCATTTTCATGGCAGTTGACTACTGTCAAACAGTAAGTTCCTCCTAATGTTTAGCTGAAATGAGCTCCCTTGCAATTTCCACCAATTGGTCCCAAAGCAACAGGGGACAAGTCTGCTGGTTCTTCTGAGTAACACCTTTGATGATTTTTGTACCTTAATACCAGGCTTTACATTATCTCTATTGAATTTCACATGCTGGCTTTGGCCAGCAGTTCCAGCCTGTAAAGATCATTCTGAATCTTGATTCTATCTTCTGTGCTGTCAACGATCGCTCCCAGCATTGTGTCATCTGCAGTTTCAGTTCCTGCACTAACCATACTTCCTCTAGAATGATACTTAACTCTTAATCTCCACCAGGTGGCATAATTTTTCATTATGTTGCAACTTTGTCCATTTTACCTGCCTCCTTCCAAAATTCAGAGTTTTTCCTCATCAGGACTTCTACAGTTTTCTGTTAGAAAGACCTAAGAGCCAATGTTGATGGCATCTGTCTGTCTCTCGAGAGTGCGTATGCCTCCAGGGGTGGAGTCAAACCACTTCATTAGCAGTGACCTTCCCAAGCCTGGGCAGTGGGGATGGAGGTCCTGAACTGCCCAGATGACACATTGTCATTTTTTGACAGAATTACAAGCCTGGTAGATGAAGGGAACGCAGTGGATGTAGCCTACCTTGATTTCAGCAAGGCATTTGACAAGGTGCCCCATGATATTCTTGTAAAGAAGTTGGTAAAATGCGGTCTTGACTATGCTACCACTCAGTGGATTTGTAACTGGCTGACTGACCGAACCCAAAGGGTGCTCATCAATGGTTCCTCTTCATCCTGGAGAAGAGTGACTAGTGGGGTGCCACAGGGTTCTGTCTTGGGCCCGGTCTTATTCAACACCTTTATCAACGACTTGGATGATGGACTCAAGGGCATCCTGATCAAATTTGCAGATGACACCAAACTGGGAGGGGTGGCTAACACCCCAGAGGACAGGATCACACTTCAAAACGACCTTGACAGATTAGAGAACTGGGCCAAAACAAACAAGATGAACTTTAACAGGGAGAAATGTAAAGTATTGTACTTGGGCAAAAAAAATGAGAGGCACAAATACAAGATGGGGGACACCTGGCTTGAGAGCAGTACATGTGAAAAGGATCTAGGAGTCTTGGTTGACCACAAACTTGACATGAGCCAACAGTGTGATGCGGCAGCTAAAAAAGCCAATGCAATTCTGGGCTGCATCAACAGGAGTATAGCATCTAGATCAAGGGAAGTAATAGTGCCACTGTATTCTGCTCTGGTCAGACCTCACCTGGAGTACTGTGTCCAGTTCTGGGCACCACAGTTCAAGAAGGACACTGACAAACTGGAACATGTCCAGAGGAGGGCAACCAAAATGGTCAAAGGCCTGGAAACGATGCCTTATGAGGAACAGCTAAGGGAGCTGGGCATGTTTAGCCTGGAGAAGAGGAGGTTAAGGGGTGATATGATAGCCATGTTCAAATATATAAAAGGATGTCACATAGAGGAGGGAGAAAGGCTGTTTTCTGCTGCTCCAGAGAAGCGGACACGGAGCAATGGATCCAAACTACAAGAAAGAAGATTCCACCTAAACATTAGGAAGAACTTCCTGACAGTAAGAGCTGTTCGACAGTGGAATTTGCTGCCAAGGAGTGTGGTGGAGTCTCCTTCTTTGGAGGTCTTTAAGCAGAGGCTTGACAACCATATGTCAGGAGTGCTCTGGTGGTGTTTCCTGCTTGGCAGGGGGTTGGACTCGATGGCCCTTGTGGTCTCTTCCGACTATGATTCTATGATTCTATGATTCTATGATGTGATCCAAAGGAAAGCAGAGCAGTATGTTTGGCACCAGCTTGGCTGCAGGAGTTGCCAGAAGGCGGCATACAAGACACCACCCAACCATCTTAGGGACTCCAATCCAGATATGTGTAGGGTTTACTCCTTAGCCTTTCTTCTCCTGAAGTTGTCCTGCGAGGCAGCAGAGGTTTAGGATCAGAGTACAGCTGGGGTTTAGGATCAGAGCTTCCCTTCTCCTAGAAGGGCTACCTTCCCAACTGAATGAGCCCCATCTGCCCCTCACTTCCATCTACAGCATTTGCAGAAACAGCCTTCTTGACTGTTGGACCCACTATTGGCTCTGCTCAATCCACCAAGCCTGTCTTTGCAGGCAGGGCAAGTCCCTAATTCACTTGGGTTTGAGATCCATCAGCTATCCTCACTTGGTTTAGCTGGCCAGTCAAAGCTGTTTCCCAGGGTGTGGCCCCTGTCACATGCTGACAGCTTCTAGAAGTCACAGGTGAGAGCTGAATGCAGGGTGGGGACCAAGGTGGACTAACTACCCCAGGAGCATGATGTGCCCCCACCAGAATTACCCCTCTTGTCTGTAGCAAAGAAGTCCCTATCTAAGCTGTATGGGGAGGCTAAACCACCTGTTAGTCCTTGAGAATCAGCATCAGAAACTGCAGGCTTAGGCAGCTGGCCAGTAAAGGAGCATAGACTTGAGACCACAATGTCACCATGCTAGTCAACAGTAAAGGGTTCTTTAAGCATCTGGATTTGGACAGGGTCTGGAAGGCTACTCTTTATAAAACTTCAGTTGAAGTCTGCTAGTAGCTGGAACAACCCATGCCTTTTAGCTACTTACTCATGCAACCAGACTCGCCTCTGACTGAGTGGTGTACACACTCCTCCCCCTCTTAATTTTATCCTCACAACATTTACATACAAAATGACAATTCAACTCACAAAAGGCCATAGTCAACTCAAAATAAACCTGCAGTAACTACTTATTGCCATATACCCAGTCTCTACACTGGCTGTCAGTTAAGATTACCATTACATCGCAATAGTAAGCTCCAAGCCAAGTTCAATACTGCACACATGGGGGGGGGGGAGACTGTCGTCAACATTTCTTGACATCTGGCAAAACAGTTATGCAGTAGAAAGTTCCAACCTCAGGAATTTTGGGCGGAGGAGGCCGCTTCGCCTTTCCTTCAGGAACCTTCTCCTTCAGAAGTATCTTCCATACATCCAGTGCCCCTATCAAAGTGTTTGGCTTATAACTCAAAGTCTGTTGGGTCCCTGAAGACTGCAGCTCCAGGGTGTGATAGGCTGGATTTAAGTGGTACCGGCTGCACAAGTCAACTAAGAGGTCCATCACAGCTTTACTGGAAGGGAAAACAGAAAAGGCTACTTAGAACCAGATTTAATAGAACACAGAAGGGTTTTCACGCAGGTAGAGAGAGCAGATTGAAAGCATATCCAGATAGTACACATACACATACATAAAAATCAACCTGGACTATTTCAAAATAGCCATGTTCTTCAAAACATCCACTGGGAAACTTTGTGCCTCTATTTGCTGACATGGGCACAGCCAGTGTTGAGCACAAGGAAAGCCCTGCACCTTTTCCTCATGGCCGGTTTGTCCTCACACCAGCTCCACATCCACAGATCAGCTACTGGGTGGGTTGTAGGGATAGAGAGACAAGCTTGACTGCTCTCATCCATCAGCTGCGTGGCGGCTCTTGCTCATTAGCTATGAACAGCGATGGGCAAATCTACCAATTTCAGTTTCTCATCTTTCCAATCTTAAATTCAGTTATCCACATTTCCATATCACATGGTTTATTTTGTTTTTAAAAAATCCTCATGAAAATTCATTAACATTTAATACAAATTTCTCATAATTATATGTATGCATGCAATTCTGCCAATATATTTTTTACAAAGCTGTTTTCTGTAGCACAGTGCATTTTTGTATGTTATTGTCACTAATACATGGGTTTTTAATGTACACTTTATCCAGTACATGCATGTTTGTACACATTACTCTGCTGCAGAACTTCATTGCAAAATTCAGAGAACTGCAAACTTTTAAGGATGAACTGAAGGATTGTATTGTGTCAGAAAGTGTGACAGTTAGGGAGGTTTGCCTTTAAATGAATCAAATTTCTGTCCCATCCCTAGAATGGAGGAGAACCCACCAAGCCTCAAGCCCTTCAGTCACTAAAGGAGGAGTCTGAGAGCAACCCACACAAAGGGAGATTTTGCTTTAAAACACCAAATGAATCGCAACTCGGCCATGAATCAAACCCAAAAGAGGAAGAAAGCCAATGCGAAGGGACAGAGCCTCATGACGCCTTGCCAGAATGTGGGAAGTATAGAGAGCAGATGCCCAAAATGTCCCCACCCACAAAGCCTTCCACAGCACCACTGGTGGTCATCAGGGTGGTGGAAATGCCTTCATATGCCCTCCGCAGCGGCAAGCCCACCTTACCTAGGGGTTGGGGGAGTGAAGAGCACAAATGGGAAAGTCCTCCGTGTGACCTCTGGGCAACGGCTAAGAGGCAATGGAGGCCTCTACATAACCTTAATTCTTGGACATGTACTGGATTGCTCCACACCAATCATATAAAATGCTGGATAAGAATTTGTTGCTCTCCCAACCTTTACTAGATTTCATCCAGTCTTAGTCTATCTGATTTTCCTCAAGATGTTTGTCTGTGTGGAAACATCCTTTTCCTGGTCTTTTAAATTTTCCTCATGCGTGCTTCGCTTCAGGAGAGGATGGCTCTCTTCAGATATATACACAATGCTTCAGAGGCAAAATGGTGTCCTATACTATGCACTGCACATAATTAAAATTAATCACGGTAGAGAAAAAAATTGATTACAGTGGTACCTCGGGATGCGAACAGGATCCGTTCCGGAGCCCCATTTGCATCCTGAATGGAACGTAAGACACAACAGCGCGTGTTGCGTTTTGCCGCTTCTGTGCATGCGCATGATGTCATTTTGAAGCGTCTGCGCATGCGCAGCAGCGGCGAAACCCGAAACGCGCTCAAACCTGAAGCACATTCAACCGAGGTATGACGGTATAATGCATATAAAATTAGCCTCTTGCATGCTGGATGAAATACATGTGCACTAAAAACAGTCGGTAGGAAAACACAGCGGGCACTGCTAGGTTATAAGGAGGCAGGGGCAGGGAGGGGAAAATCTGAAAATGATTGCATTGTCTAATCTCTCCCCCTAAAAATAATATCAATGGGTAGATACAAATTGTTTCAAATGTCTGAAAGCCTTACCTGCCATGCACAGTAGTTTTCTGTTCTTCTCCATCTGGAAAAACTACTATAAAGTCCACCGTCCTGTTAATCAGATTTTCCTTCATATTTATCACACCCTGATCAGGCAGCGCTCCCAGGTCTGTAGGTAATTTGTGTTCATTATTAACTGTACAGGTGGCAGGAGTTTGGTTTGGTGGAGGTGGAGCACGAGCCTTCATTCTTCGTCTGAAAAAGAAAACAGTAGGAAGTTGGTTTGTTACATGCGCATGCTCCAAAAGAGCAGTCGATACCATCTGACCAGGTGATAAACACCTGCTTCCTTTGGACAGTAACAGGATGCATTACTTAGATTTTAGTGCTTAATAGCACACTTCCAGGACAGAGTAGTTAGTACCCTGTATGCCAAGGCAATCCCCCATCCAGGCCGTCACCAGACCCGGACCTGCAGTAAGCGGCCAGAGGCAGACACCCAGGGTCCCTTGGCAACCCACTCAGGGAAAAAAACACACTTTACCGCAATAACCACAATAGAAATTACTACATTTTAAGCAACCCAAGTACTCAAAGCGCCCGGAGTGAGGGTGAGACAATTTCAGTAGGGAAACTGGAGGGGGCCAGTTTCATCAAGCCTTAGGTACACCTCTGCAAGAGGCCTAATAAGTCTTTGGATCATACCTTTCTAGCTTCATGCCATCTACGAGTCTTTTATAAAATGCTGAAAGCACAGAGCCGAGGACAGAGCCCTATGACTCAAGTCCTCCCTCTGGGCTGACACAGAGCCATTAACAAACATTTCCCTGGGTGTGGTTGTTCAACCAGCTGTAGTATCAACCTTACAAGCAGTATCGTCGAGCCCACATTCCAAAAATGCAATATAGTAAAAACTCAGACAGATGCAGCAGATAAAGCAGAGACTTCAGAGATTGTCCTAGGCCTTGCTAAAGTCCAGATATACCATGTTTGTGGCATTCCCATCATCTACCAAACAAATAACTCTCATCAAAAAAAGGAGGTAAGGTTGCCTGGGATGACTTCTCCTTCATAAACCTTGTAACCAAAGCTTTCTTTTCTGGATGATCATGAGGTACTTAACAATCTGCTCAAGAAATGTGGCCAATGTTGACATCAAGCAGAGTGACTTGTAATCCACCAGAGCCATTCCCCACCCTTTGATGACAGGGGACAACATCTGCACATCTCCAGGCTTCTGGCACCTCCTCTGATCTCAAATATTCTCAAATATTTCAAAAATATTCAGAATTCGCAAATATTACTAACAGCATTTCTGAAGTAACACCTTCAAGCTCATTCAACTCCCTTGGACTTAATTCATCTGACCCTAGACGTGTGAATTTACTGAAAGTAGCTTGGTGTTTACTAACCATCTTCTTACCTATCCAGGCTGCAAATCCCTCCTCACGTTGTTGGCTCTTGTTGTTTTAAAAATAATTTTATTTTTCACTATTCATCCAAGAACAAAACAAAACATCAAATAATACACAGTATAATTCAGATTTAGTCTGCATCCATAGTTTTCCCTTGTTAACTCAACAGGTGCTTCTACACGGTGCCAAGCATTGATAATGGCAGTAGACATCGCAAACTATTATTCAGGCAGGGAATATAACATAGTGCCAGATTTCCACAAAATCACTCTCCAGTCCTTTAGCCTCTCCTATTTGTTCTGCAAGTTTTTCTGTTACAGCTGCACTTATATTACAGAAATACATATCCTTCACTATCCCTTCTAACTCTGCAGTGATCCTTTATTTCTTCCCAGAGCCTACTCCATTTCATAGATCCTCCATTTGCCCTCTCTGCAAATAGTCCTCTAATTATATCCTCAATCTGCCTTTTTGCCCGTAGCCCAATTCACAGACATGGAAAAACTCGAGAGAAGTACACTTTTTATCTTTAATTCCATCAGCAAACTAGCCTGCCTGAAATCCACACTGCTCTCATTAATTTGCAACACCTCCTGAAGTGTTTACATAAGAAACAGATTGACCCCATAATCCCTAAACAAAACTATATAAAAGATTTGCATAGCAAGTCACTTGCTACTATACTATTATCTTACCTCTCAGAATAAGGTGCTTGGCAGAAAATGCAAGAATTGTTCCTCAAAACAAAAATAGCATGAATACAATCCCTAAGATTTATGAACACTGAGATCCTGGAATGTAAAAAGAGCCATACCCTTTGGACCAATAAGGATCTTAGTTATTTATTAATAAAGATCACTAACAATGTAACCTTGGCATACCAAAGCCCAACTAACAGACGGCACCCTGTCAAATGCTTTTCACAAGGCATGCTCATAGCCTTCATTTCCTCACATCAACTCTGTAAAGTGACATTTATACAGTTTTGGTGAAAAGTGCAAGCCTAGGATTTTCACCTTCAGCTTGTAAGCTGTACAAGACACAACAGAAACCTTCCAGTGAGGTACTCAAGTACCTGGGTAAAGGTTCTCAACGTAACCTTAGAGAAAGTCTCTGGAAAGCAGTGCTACACTATGTACAAGCTTATTTGTCTGAACACTCAAGAAACGCATGCATTCAGCAGTTTGATAAACAGAAACGCTGCTTATACCAGTGTTTCCCAACCGGTGTTCCGCGGCACACTAGTGTGCCGCGAGACGTTGCCTGGTGTGCCGTGGGAGGGAGGCGGGCAAGTCGGGCGGCGAGAGGCGGGGCGGCGGCGGCGAGGATCCGCGTCGAGCCGGGGGCGGCTCCGCGGTGGTGGTGCCGAGGTTTCTCTCTCCATTCTCCCCTCACACACACACACACAGGAAATAACAGGACTCAGCTGACAGGACCCAGCCAATGGGGCGGCGGCGGGGCAGCGCGCGCAAAAGGGAGGAGCGCGAGACAGCGGACGAGGAGGAGGCCGGCATGTCCGGGCAGCAGCAGCAACAACAGCAGCAGCAACTCCCGGCGACGGCTCCTCAAGCCCCGGGCAACCCTACTCCCTCACCGGCCTCGGCCGCCCTCCTGCTCCACCCGCCGCCGCCTCCCCCGCCGCCGCCACCTCGGCCCCGCCGCCGCCCCCTCCTCCACCCGCTATCGCCGCCACCACCACAACAGCCGCCGCCGCCTCAGCTGGGCCCATGCCTGCCTGGGAGCGGCGGCGGCAGCAGCAGCAGCAGCGCCCCGGCGCCCTTCCCTCACGGCGGCGACCCGGCCCTCCCCCCCACCCCCAAAGCTTGGAGGTTCCCCGGCAAGGGGGAGGGGAAAAAATTGAAACTTACACTTTCGTGCGTCCCTCCCGGCGTGACGCTGCGCGCTAACGTCACGGGGCTGTAATGGTGGTGTGCCTCGAGATTTTTTTCATCAAACAAGTGTGCCTTTGCCCAAAAAAGGTTGGGAAACACTGGCTTATACAGTACAGGGTTCCACTAGCATGAAAATATACAAAAGGAGTTTCCACAGGTGTGGCAGGTGAGAGTTCTGCTCCCATGCACTTCTGGTGTTAAAATTAAACCACATTATGTCTGCATGTTTGCCATGTTCATCTATAGTTTGGCCCCCAAATAGTATTTGGCTTAAAATCAGTCTGGGATGTGAATGGCAAGTTTCACTAGATATACCCATTTCAGCTCCTTTCCCTCACTGCCAAAATTGAGATGGCAGAATTAATGCTAAAAGGGCTCAGAGATGCTAGTTCTGGGCTTCCTACCTGAAAACGTCTACTGCCACATGGCAGAACTAGTCCTGGAATTTTGAAAAGCAGAGTTGTGCTGCTTTCAGAGGTGCATAAAACCATATTATTAAGTGGAACAGTCACATGCATTAAGGGGTGCAAGTGAAATACTCATATGGGAATCCAATGACACCTTTAAAAAAAGATGTCATCACTTTTCTATCATCACCAGCTATAAAAATCTGCACAGTGAATGACAATCTCACCTGAAAAATCTTATCTGAATTGTACTAAAATGGAGCTGGGTAGAGAGTAAATTCCACTTAACATGATTTTGTAAACTGCTTTTGTTATCAAGCCTCATCCTGCAATGTCCCTTCTGTTCCCTGCCTAGTAAGCTTGGGCAATTGCTCAACAGTGCTCTGTGCCACACACACTGCCAACTTAGGCAGGACTGATCAGAGTCTCCCCTTTTGCATTTTCGCTCTCGCCCCACCCCCCAATATTTTTTGAGCGGATTATTGTTAATGCCCAGTTCCTGCCACTCTCCCAACATGTTCCTTTTCCCTCGCACGCTCTTAGCAGTCTTTGTGCGGGTGCGGAGATCATATAAATCTCAGTTCATTTCAAACTGCTAATGAACCAAACATGCATCGCGAGTGAGGTAATGAAGTGCCCTGCTTTCACACAATAACCGTGTTGTTGCTGGAACATTATAATGAATAGATGCCTCGGCTGCTATTATTAGGAAATTCCACAGTTTGAATTCTAATGGGATTGGGGTTTCTTGTATTAAACGTTTGAGTGCCAGCTTTCATTTCAGGCTATATTTTCCTCAAACTCTTAAAAAGATGTTTGCTGGAAGAAAAACACTGTCATGCCTAGCCCTGAGCTAGCACCAGGTACGGAATCCTTAGAGGACAGACTGGGCACCACACAGGTTGAGGGTCTTGAGGAGCAGGCAGGGCACCCTGAGCCCAACACTGATGGTCCCCTGGGGGGGCCCTTCGCATGGATACCTAGCGAGGAACCCCTGGAGCTCCCATTGCTGGAAACGACATAGGTCCCTAGCTTCAAGGTCCTGATTCTACTCACTCTCCATTGCTGTATTGTACCTTGCCAAACGCACACACACAAAACGTACATGCATACATGTCTGTGTGTGTGATCTTGATCTTGGACTGTTTCCTAATTTGTTTCTGGATTACATTTGGAACTAGATTATCTGTGCTGGATCGTGGTTTGTTTGGACTGTGTTCCACTGGTTATCTCTGTCGTCACTGGTGAGTGGTTCAGCTTATATCGCCTGTAACTGGGATCCCTGCCTCTGAGGGCATCTCCTGGAGTGTTACAAACATTCCCAGAGAGAATAAGCATTATACACGCACACATTCACACTTACATACACTGCATTCGTAACGTCAGTGTACAAATATCTGATACTTCCTTATTAAACCAATGAAACAGAAACTGCCATGGAATGCACGCAATCACAACAGTTGTTATCCAGCATTTTGCTAATGCTTGTACTGAACAATTTCTGAACAATTGTGCTCATACAATTTCTGAAGCAATGAATA